CTCCTGTCTATGTTTCGTTGCCGTAGCGTCGGAGGCATTTAAAAGAAAAAAAACAACAAATAAACAAATTATAGCTACACAAAACAACGATAAATTCACAAATTTAAGTTACAATTATACTAACACGATCTGTCATGCCGACACAAAACAGCGATAAATACACAAATTTAAGATACAACCATACTAACACGACCCGTCTTGGGGGTTATGTTTACACAAACTCAAATAGTAAATAAATGTACTCAATGTGTTTCATTGAATTGAAAAGTAAATAACAGCAATAAAATTATACAGCTGATCAAAATGTAAACAATTATGTTCTTCATAAGGATAACATGGGAAGTTTCAAAGCCACTGGGGCAGAGCCCAAGGGACTTTTTCAAAAATGTAAGGTCAGTTTGCAAATCTACGCGACACGCTCTTTCCAATGAGACGTCAATGGATAAAATCGGTTAGGAAATGGCGGAGAAGTTCAACCGACAAACTTTCGTGTAGCGTATTAATTATATAGATTTGATTAATTTGATCAACCTAAGAATTACCTCATCAACTGAAACGTTTTTCACTTTCAAATTTTGATTGTAAATAATCGAATGTATCAAGAGTGCTCCTCGATTGCTGTTGTCGATTTTAGTTAATCTGTGCACTGTTGTTTGTTTAGTTATAGTCAGTATAATGAAAGCAAAAAGATCATAATGGAGAAATAGTTAAGGGCTCTTGGCAACAACTCTTTATTTTTAATAGCAATTCTGAACGAAATACACCTTTGAGCTAATCAAAAATGTAAGCAGAATACACAGTTTTCATTTTTCGAAATAGTTAGTAGGAAAAAACTAAGAAATCTAGTCCATAACAATAGTCCTTGCTCGGTCATAAAACTTTATCTCGCGTCAAAAAGAGTTACTTTATCTTTTAGAGACGTAATATACGATTAAACTGTAAAACCTACTCGGGTGTTATAATAAAAAAGCATAGTGCTCTTTTAATGTGACGATGTGGTTTCCAGTTTCAGTTGTAAGAATGGTGTTACATCTCTTTATGTAGATTATTTCAAAAGCATTCTTATTAAATACTTTTTAATACATAATAAGCTATAACATAATCTGTTAGTCTCAGATTAAAACTTAGCCTTAAGACAAATATGAGATTACTGAATCCTCACAATTAAGTCGTTACACGTTCTTACGAAAACCAACAAAATGCACGAAGAACTCTTATATTACAATTCATGTTTCTTAAAAAGTGTAATATTAGTATTTGTGGTATTTGATAATAGTCTAAATATTTGATTTACCTACGTAGTGTCCTATCAGTGATTTAACTACACCATAGACAAATATAATTAAATATATACAATCAGCAGTGATGCGATTAGCATAAGTCCTGCCGCCCACCGCTGCGAGTTGCAAATTTCGTGCGCAGCAAAAGCACGGCGCTCCCAGCGGTGGACGCCAGAACTTATGCTAACCACAGCACTGCTGACGGTCTATATTTAATTCTTTTTGTCCATGACTAGACGCAAATATGAGGTATACTTAGTCATACTTTTAAATTCCAACTCATGTAAAAATAATTAAGAATATAATACAGTTCTGACAATTGTTATGTAATTAAGTTAATATCGCATATTAAGCATTTAGAAATCCAATTATATACGGTATTTCCCTTTTTACCAAAGAAGCCAACAGTATTATTTTTAAATCCTCTTAATCCTCCACATTATTCGGTCTTAACTTGGGCAACTCCAGAGCCCTGATAAGTACCTTGAGATTCCGCAGTCGGATTAAACAGAGCTTTGACTTTGCGAGGTTCACCTCCGATACGTTTAAATTCCTTACAATGCTGCTTACAGTTCATCCTAATTAGTTACATAGAATTTTAGGTTTAGTCTGAACAGGTAATATTGTGAATTATATTATTCTAATGATGCTGACTTGAAGATGCTTTTGCTCATTGATCTTAAACTTTCTGTTAATTCATATTTGACTGGACTCTCCATGATGTATGTGTCTGCTGTATGAATCTAATATAAGTATGAAGGCACACTTTTTTCTTGTATATACACTATAAATAATACTATCATAAACGATTTGAATTTTTAACGTCATCTATTTTATGAGTGATCGATTTTCATTCACTTTCCTTTAACTGTACACTATGTTATGTGAAAATCATTGTGTATCGACTAATTAAAAATATATAACACTAAATTACTTACGTAATCCCGACGCAACTCACCAAATGTTTTAATATTAGTAGAACATGTGTCATTGTAAAAACACTATCGTTAACTTCAGGTACAGTAATTAATGTAGGTTACCCATTTTGTAATTTAAATAAAACAGTTTTTAAATTTAACAGATTTTCTTTATTTTTTGGAATATGCTGTAATTTAAAAGAAGCAAACAACTGAAGTCTTAATCTGGTAGGTAATACCAACAAAAAAAGTATAAGTCATAAATTCCCACGGGGGGGAGGGTTTCATATTGGTAGCTTGTGGTCTAAGGGGGGAAGAACAGAAACTAGCCAGTATGTAAAAAGCAAATGGATATAGTATCTATTGTATAAAAATGTTTGGTAGATGAAATCATGGACAGCGGTGCTTAGTATGAAACCAATACTTTTCACATGATTTAACCACTAACATAGCAAAGAACAGAGGTTGCCTATTCTTAAAGACCAGTTAAAACTTTCTAGAACCTAGTAACTTCTTGTCGACAGTTTTCTCAATCCAAAGAACACAGTTTTTTACTCCTACAGTTCATTAGGTCTAAATGGTTAGTAAAACTAATAAAATAGAAACACAACTGATGAGATAATTTACTATTCATAAAGGTTTTAGTCGTATAGTATACAACATGACAGTATATTTAATTAAAAGTATAGTTACAGCGAAGCATTCCAAGGATGTTGCTGAATCTCAGGATATTGCCTCACACACAGAGAGTACAGTCATTGACCAATGGTTAAGTATAAATACAGCACAGTGCTCTCACCAACACAGAACATTCTTACACTCCAACATGGACACTTTGGTGAGTATGTTCACTCATTACTACTTCATTGAAGACAATGTCATATTTTGTGCTACTGCTTTGTTTAAGTTTTATTTGTTAATATTACAGTATAAATTAGTACCGTACCTACTGTAGCAACGAGTATTGTTATATGTACTTATACAATCTAAATTAATAAAACATGAACATGTTAATTATAAAATAAGTTAGTTAAATTATAAATTTGTTGCGTGTGCAAAGGCATTATTATATTACAAACTAATTATATTATATTATAAACCGTATGCATTCAAGAATCTATAGACATATAGGTTACCAGCAAATAATATCTAATTTTTAAAGCTATTGGAACATATTAAATTTACTAGTAGTATGCATGCACCTATAACAGATAAATGACTTTTAAATAACTTTTGATTTTCAAAGAAAATCAAGAAACGTGTTCCGATTATAAATTGGCCCTTTACAACGTTTCTTGTGTTTAAAACTACACAACGTTTCTGGAGGTGGATCAATATCTCCCATTTTCAAGTTGAATTCATATTATACAATAATGGGACATGCCATTTAATAATATACAGATTAAATTGATGTTGACTTTCTATTTTTTTCTGAATTGCTCTCATTTTATTTCTTATGTAAATTCTCAAATCTTGAATTAACACAATCCTTATTTTGCAGTACTTTGTACTTTTTGTTGCCCTATACACCCAGAGTGTGTACTGCAGCTACTATCACGGACCCACCGCCAAGCCTGTCGTCCTCCACAACGGCTACCTGGCAGACACCCATGAGGTAGCAGCAGCCAAGAACGCTCATCTCGCCGCTCTAGCCAAAGAATCTCACTCTCACTACGGAGGAGACTACGGATACAGTCACGGCCAGGAATACAGTGGCTCTTATGACGACCATCATGGAGACATCAGGTACCACGGACCCACCGCCATCCCACATGTCCTGCATGACGGACATATCGCAGACACTCACGAGGTGGCCGCTGCTAAGGCTGAGCATTTCGCCGCTGTAGCCAAGGCCAAGGCTCACGGATGCTACGGCGACCACTACAGTGGCAGATACGCCTCAGACTACGGCACCGACCATGGACACTCCCATCATTTGGTGCCTTACCACAGACCCCTCGCCAAGCCCGTGGTGCTCAAGTCCGGATACCTGGCAGACACTCACGAGGTCGCTGCCGCCAGGGAACATCATCTGCAGGCTTTGCACAAAAATGATAACTATTACTAAGTTAAATGTTTACAATAAAATTACGTCTACCAAATACCTTTTTAGTAATATCTAAGTCTACCATTTTATATAAACTAGTGGTCGTCCTGTGGTCGAAACTCGACCAAAAATAATTAATGTACAGACTTCTCTATTTTCTCCCCACACTGTAAATAAAACATGTGATTGGGATTTCTTCCATTTGTTTTGATTTTCTGTTTACATTTTGTTGTTATTTCGTCACCATCATGGCAACCCAGCTGGTCCATGTTAATTTGTTGAAGTTTTCAAATTCGTTTTTTGTGCTTATTTTTTAGCCTATTTTAATTTATAAAGGGATTCTGCACATCTACAGGCAAATATCTTTCTAACAGTATGCGTAGATTTCCCCTGCGATGCACACGAGCTGAGAAAAAAGGTTAAAAAAAAAAACATGCTTGCCTATTAATATATAGATAGATAAAACTAAACCAATTAAAAATTAATAAGGCAGTCTGTGTCTGTATCTGCAATGCACGTAAGGTTAGTAGCATTTATTGCTGCCTGGTAATTTTTTTGTCTTGTTAGCAGTAATTTTCAGTAAAATTATTATTTTGTTCATTGGTGCGCTCACGATTAGAATATGCATCAGTTGTATGGTATCCTCATCAGCTTTACCTTGTAGACATGATTGAGGCGATTCAAAAAAGATTTTTAAGATTTATGTATTTTAAAACATTTGGTCACTATACATTCAACATCTCATACCACCAGCTCTTGACCATGTTTGATATGACTAGTCTCAGTGACAGAAGGAAGTTGGCCGCCTTATCTTATCTACATAAACTGGTGAGCGGTGTTCTGGACGATAGTGACTTGCTGGGACAAATCAATTTTCACGTTCCACGACACAATTCACGCAGCACTCTTGTATTTACCCCTCGTTACTCTCGTACCAATCTTGGATTCAATTCTCCACTAAATATTATGTCTCGCACTTGTAATTCCTATCAATTTGATATATTTCATTTATCACTAAAAAAGTTAAATGTCTGTTTGTTAAATGAATTCAAACTTTCTTATCAACGTTAATTTATAATTTTTCTAAATAGTACATATTTATTTGTTATATATTTATATTATATTTATTATATTTGATTCATGACCATCAGTATTATTTTAGTTAGTATAAATTCTCTTGTTACTGTATATTTAAATTTTATATTGTCATTCTTATTTATATTCTTATTTATATTTTATATTCTTTATTTATATTTTGAGTGAAACTGTCACCATTGAAGACGGACATTTTTTCCCTAGTTGTGTTATTATTAATTGTAATATCATGTTAACATTCCTGTTATTTGATTAATGCTACAAAGTAATTGGCATGTGCTGTTTTGTAGCATTGAAAATAAAATAAATAAATAAATAAATTTTAATTTCCTCATGGTAAATGAATATTATACAGGGTGGTTAACTTAAGGTGTCTCAAATTTATTTCAGACGAACCGTTGGTCCTACAATGATTAACTAAAACAATTTCCTACTAAATATTCCCCAAGGAATAAGGTAAATAATTTATTTTTAATAGTTTTTGAATACCGGGTGTTAAATCAATCAAAACATTAAACATATAATTACATTACATAATTTTAAAGCCCTATTATAAAGAAACATTTTGGTGGAAATAGAACTATGTGCTGTCTGACATATCAATCTTGTTGAAGTTTTTTAGTTTTGGGTAACGGCTGTGTAAATATAAAAAAGATTGTTTTAATTTCTTTGTTCTAAAGATAATATTACAATATCGGATACCATAATAAATATTAGCTCATAAGGAATGCGATATTTGAATCATCGTAAAGATATATGCAACTTCAAGAAAAATTCAGGTTATTCCGTAAAATCAAACTTTTCGAAAAAGTGGCCGTTATTTTGAAACGGCTTCAGATAATTTAGTTATGTTTTCACCAAAACTTTTCTTTTTAATAGGGATTTAAAATTATGTAAAATACAATACATGTTTGCGTTTGATAATTCCGAGATTCGGACTGTAGCCCTCTAGTTTTTTATCACCCTGTATTCTAAAAACATTAAAAATATTTTTTACGGTATTCCTTGTAGTCGATTTAGCGGAAAATAATGTTATTTAATCATTGTAGGACCAACGCTACGCATGAAATCTATTTGAGACTCATTAAGTGAACCACTCTTTTTAATAGTTTTCAGGTAACTGTATAATATTATCTACCTAAAAATATATAGATATGTATATAGATATGTTATAGATATGACTAAAATGATAAAACTCCCACGACGGATAATGACCAGTTAGCATAGCACCATAATGGTAAATACGGTATAACTCAAGTCATTACCATTTGACTAAGCTATTGAATTACCATAATAGTTTTACACTGTTGGTGTTGGTTTAAACATAGCCGTCAGATCTTGCACTTCTGTAGGATACAACGAGGGCCAGGTGTTGTGTAGTAGCGTCATCTGTCGCGAATAGTTTGTGGTGTAGCGGACAATGTTCACTACACTATAACTATTTAATTACCATAATAAATTTATGGTTGGGGTCTTACAGCTAAGTACAGCTGTGTTGTCATATTTATGGGAACGATAATTGAGCGATACATATCGTTGACCTCTTTGCTTAATTGTTAGCAGCTAACGTTTATTATTTCATATTTTATATAGCACAAGACACGAAAAGTGAATCCTATCACTAAAATCTCCATCTATTGGATTACTTTCATTATATGCATTGACTGTTGAGATTTTTTCAAATATTATATTTATTTAAAGTTGATAGAAATACAATTTTCGGTTATGTCTGCCAATTTACTTTCATATTTTAAAAGTTTACATTCTTAGGCTATATAATATTTAGATAGATTTTAATTAAAAAGAGTAAGAATTAAAATTGATAAAAACTCAAGTAAAAGAAGTACAGAAACTTGTTTCTTACTTTTAATTTTAACATAATGTTACAACTGTATCGTTATGATAATTGTGCTTCGAGCTTTATTTACAACTTGCATGGTAAAACCAATAATAAAATTTTTTAAATGTACAGTCAATGGTGACATGATAACGCATCAAAGTCCATTAGGTTGTTATCTGCGTTAGTTTTCTCTGTGTTGTTATTTTATGCACAAATGGCAACATTTAACTGACTGCACAGTGCACAGTGATCGAAGATGGCGAGTACGATAGGTCAACCATGTAACATGAACATAACATTAGGTTTGGACATGAGCATGATCTATAAGACGATCTGTCATTGCTGCTTAGTTGCATGTTTGGGTTAATTAGTTCATGCTTAAACCTTCAAAACTGATTAAATCAAATAGACGACCGTCATACCTCATATTCCTTAATCTAAATATGATATAGGAATATTTATCTATATCTTTAAAATAATATAAAAAATGTATGCCTGACGATGGCGGAGATGTTTAAATAACCACCGAAACATATGTAGCAATTTCGACACTACATGTTAAGGATTATCTGACGAGGTATGTTTAACCATTATTTGTCATATTAACACAATCCTGGGGCTATGAAAATGAATTTTAATACAAATAGACCTTGGATACTGCAAGTGAACTTCTTATTTAGTTTTAAATCTAAAGTTTTGACATTATAGTCGGCTTATTACCCGTGTTTAGAGAGGTTTGAAATACCATTTGTTTAACTCATATTTTAGGGTAGTATTTCAATAGTTTAAATCGACAACGTAGCAAAAACTTGAAAAAAATCTAATCAAACATAATTTTTCGAATTGATGATCGATTAGGATAATAAACTGTTAAGGTTGTTCATGTTTGATGTGTTAAAAAAGACAAACTATTTTTTATTTACTATAAGTCTCTGTTTATTTAGTTACAGGTTATTTAGAGCTGTTGTGTTGTCTCTAAAACACCACTTTTATTTACCTGGTGTTAAAAATGAATTGTTATTTGAATTTTTTAAAGCTATACCTAATATTTGAATGTGTATGATATGCTTATAATGAAACGAAGCTAGAAATATATAGCTTACTTGATGTAGCCTTTTTCATGCAGTTTTTTTACCACCCAAGATTCCTGAATATCATAAATTTCTTATTTCAACTTACATTTATTTAAGAGTTATTGTTTGATAATTATTAGTACATTTAATGCCAATATACTCTTATGCGCTTCTAATTAAAATAAAATCTTAACAATGTTCAATTATTTGTCAAATAATATTAAAATGTTGTAATTTGAACTACATCAAAACCATTTAAATAAACTAAAAACCATATACAACACACCGTTAACAATATGAAATACTGTACTTATAGTTCAGATTTTCACAGAGGAGTGTGAAATATAAAACATGTTCCGATAAAGATTTGAGTTTATGCGTGATGCATCTAGGTGACGTCAGTTCGTGCTGACAACACGTAGCGGCTTATATCTTCAACCTCGGTCTTTACACTTCAATCTTCGACATTCATATGTTAATGACAGGTTTGAAGGGAGCTGAACACCTTCACGAAAATACATATTTTCTCCCTCTCCATTGAATATTGAATGACATATTTTTCCAACCAGGTATGATGTAGTTACAATTTGATGCAGGGTTAAATATATGTATGTGCAGCATAATATATACAGATTCATTTTATACCAATACTGTTTAAACCATTAATCACATTAGCCACAATATGTGTTTAACCTACAAAATATGAGATCTTGTATATGCCATTGATGTACAGGATGGTCATAAATTTTTGGACACATTTTAAGATTATATAAACAAACAACCAAGAAACTTATAATCATGGGAATTGTTCTTTATATAGAACATTTTAAACAGTTTTATACAGTAACTGTAAAACAATAATTATATAAATGTCAGTGATTGTAAAAATTTGTAAAACAATTTGTAAAAATCACTTTAAAAGTAGGTTTAAGCTATGTTTTTTTTTCTCAATGACTTGTGTTGTAACATAGTCAGCAATCAGCTTGGATAGCATGGAAAAACCAACAATGGACCTTTCTACACCAGCTGTGTATGACATTTGGTGAATCAAACCTTAAGTAAAAACATACTAGGGTGAAATAAAAAGCAAAGTCTTTGGTTTCATGAACGCAAATCAGTAAAGACTGTTAGAAGAAGGCTTCGTTTAGAGTATGGTCTTAATTTTCCTTGTAACAA